CTGGCAGTAAATACCCGGTGCTCAGGGATGCCATCATAACTTGAGGAAATGTAGTGCCATCTGTACTAGTTCACTGGGTTACTAGGCCTTGAACAAAGTAGGATACCTGTGGTTTCTATCGCATATTTTAGGCAACTCCCCTGCCTCCCTTGGACATAAACTGTAAGACTTTGCCTTAAGTTAAAATACATTGTAATAAACAAAAGGACGCAGGTACATTACTTTGTCACTATAGATCAGAAAAAAAAAATATCGTATGATTAAAAGCATAATCGGTTTAATTTTCACCAAAACTATTCGTTCTCCAGTGTTCCTCTGTCCTCTCTCTCCCTCTCTGTCTAGCTGTCTGTCTATCTGTCTTTCTCTATCTCTCTTTTTTCACCCCTCTCTCGCTGTCTGTCTCTCTGTCTGTCTTTCTCTCTCCCTGTCACTCTTTCTCCCCCCTCTTTCGCTCTGTCTGTCTCTCTCTCTTTCTCCCCATGTCCCGCTCTGTCTATCTCTCTGTCTGTCTGTCTGTCGGTCTGTCTCTTTCTCTGTTTCTTTCTCTCTCTCTCTCTCCCCCTCTCTCGCTCTGTCTATCTGTCAATCTGTTTCTCTCTCTCTCTCTCTCTCTCTCTCTATCACACACACACATACTTTTCCTCGAGGGTTCTCAATCTTATAAATGATTAATTACCTAGTGTCGTTTGGGGGAATTCGCATGGCTCCCTGCTTTCGTTGTCATGCGGGAGCGCCTGCCCGAATGTTTAAGACTTGCTTTAGCGTTAAGAAATGGGTTCCTCATGCAGTTTGTAACTTCGCTCATTACGTTTATCCTTTTTCTTCAGGAAAGAACGTGAAGGTGAAGGACATTCATAACTTTCGACAGAAAGCGAAGTTGGTTGCCTCAGAGGGCCTCTCCGAAGAGGAACAGGTCCTGCAGGTTTTGCAGGAGATGGTAGACAATGAGGAGGGAAGGTTCAGCATCACCACAGACAGCGAGACTTGTTGTTTGCCTATTTTTGTGCAGACTTCCCGCATGCGCAAGGTCCTCCAGACCTTCCCTGATTGTTTGTTTATTGATTGTACATACTGTAAAAATAAGTTTGCTTATCCCATTGTTGTGTTTTCAGTTGTGGATGGGGATAATTGTGGACAATGTGTGGGGTATGGTGTTGTGAGAGATGAGCAAATGAGTACACTGTCTTCATTGTTTGGTGAGTTTGTGCGAATGAACGAGGATGTGAGCGTGAAAACTGTTGTTGTTGACAAAGATGCGAGTGAGATTGGGGCGCTGAAAGAGACAATGGGTGAGTGTGACTTAGTTTTATGTCGGTTCCACGTGTGCAAGAGTTTGGATGAGGCGGTTGATAAGTACTGTGAGAAGAGGGTGAGAGAAAAAATGCATGTGATTTGTCGTGACTTGGTGATGAGTGAGAGTGAGACTGATTTTGAGAGCGGACTCGAGAAGATTCCTTTGGGTGCTTTTCGCACCTATCTGGAGAAAAACTGGCTGCCAGTCAGGCACATGTGGGCCCACCATCAAACAAAGCGCCTTGTCATGTTTGGCAACATGACCAACAGCTTTGTGGAGCGACATAATCGCACTTTGAAAACCCTTGCAAATTCAAAAATGAGCCTGTCAGAATTTTTTAGATCACTTTTGGCCTATCACAAGACGGAAGAAAAGAAGTTGCTCCACAAAGTTATTGACATGCACCTGCGTGCCAAGGTGTTCCGACCGAATTTTGATGCAGCTGGGCCGATTTTGTCACAGGCATATGAGGTATTGACCCCGTATGCTTGTGATGAACTGGCTCACCAGCTTAACAAGCTGCACAGCACCAAGTGTAGATACTGTGTGGAGTCGAAGTCGATTGTGACATTGGGAAGTGCTGATGAAATCCGGGATGAAGTGCCAGTCGATGGATGGACGTGCAAGTGCCCGTATTTCATCGAGAAGACCATGCCGTGTTGGCACTTGCTGGCTCTTTGCCAACATCAGAATGTCTGCCCTGTTGAGCTGTTCCCTGCTAGGTTCCGAAAGCAATCATTGTTAGACTGTTGTGTGAGTGATGTTGGTGAAGTAAGCAGTGGTAGTAACAATCAGGTTCAGGTGGTTCTGAAGAAGGTTCAGTCGGAGTTGGAGAAAAGAGATGTGATGAAAGAGGCGTGCAGAGAATTGGTTGCAGTAGGTGTGAATTGTGGACAGGAGGAGTTTGAAAGGAGAATATCAGTGTTGCACGAGTTGACATGTGGTTGGAGGAATGGAGAGAATGGAAGTTGAGGACAGGTTGCATTTTTGAGGACGACGTCGTTGATGTCTTGAATACCCCTGTTGTTGATAGTGCAATTGATAGAAAGAGTGCTGATTTTGATGTTTCTGTTAGAGAGAGTGCTTTTGTTGTGTCTGATAGAGAGAGTGCTTTTGTTGTGTCTGATAGAGAGAGTGCTGCTATTGTTTATGTTTCTGAGAGAGAGAGAGAGAGTGTTTTTGTTAGTTTAAAGTTTGAGCCTGTAAGAACGAAAGGTCGCCCAAAAGGCCATGGTCGCACAGGCAGATTTGCCAAGAAAAGCAAGTTGGCTGCAAATGCTGTTGTTGGAAAGAGTGCTGTTATTGATTTGTGTGGTGTTTGTGAAGGCATGGAGGTTGCAAGGTACATGTAGTTTCGTGTGAATGGGATGATTGAATGGGTAGATTGTGATTTTTGTAAACAGTAGTTTCTTCATTGTTCTTGTTTAAACCTTTGTTCTGCTCCACGTTAGTACACAAGTCAGGTAGAAGATGTTTGTAAAGCGGTAAATGTGGGCGTGTGATTAATGTTGTCGATGTCCCTGATGAAGAGAATGTTCCATTTCAACAGTAAAATGAATTTCACTTGGAAGACAAGACGTTTGTTTTGTTTTTATCAATCAACTAGCCGGGCCCCTTTTCGATGAAAGGAATGATCGGTGCATTAATATCAACTGAAAGTCATTGACCTACTATATTTACACTCTACTGGAATGGAGCAATAAATCTTGAGGGTGCAAAAAATTAGAAGGTCTACATGATCTATACTCTCAAAACAGAAATTAATCATTCTCACAGTGGTTAAAGCGAAAACGGACATGTTTAAGATTTTTAATCTATGGAGAAAAAGAATGCATCACTTGTGGAAATTTTTTTTTTTCAAAATTAGAAGAAGAATTTGAAGTTATAAATTATTAATGCCATGTGCACTCTTCAACCACCGCTAATGAACCCTGTAAAGTTGGAAGTCATAATAATATGGTTGGGTGGTTTTGGACTTTTAAGCAACTAAAAATTGCCAAGTGGGCTCCCCTACGCAAATAAAGTGTCCACAAAGTCTTGACTTTGCATTATGGCCTATTTTTTCTCTATTTTATTGTAGTTTCAAAACACATCAAATGTTCATCAGTAGAAATGTTCACATTCTAACCAAGCACAACAATGGGAAATAAACACACAAAAATAGAGAAAATTAGGTCACAATGCAATGTCAGGACTTTATGGACGCACAGTATAGACTGACGTAGAGAAAAACATGAACAAGTTTGCCACCTTCTAAACACAAGTCCAGAATTGTTACAACAGATAAAAACAAGAAAATTACAGTATTTCTGACACATAAAATGCCATTCCTTAACTCGGGTTTGCATATTTTTTGCGAGAATTTGTTTGATTCACAACTTCTTCAGGTCTTTGCCCTGGTGTGAGTTAGTCTTGTACTATACCCAGGCTTATTCTGTATCAATGTAAAGGAAGTCGAATGTAGAATACAGTAAAACGACAAAATTTAATTTTTTTCATGTCTGCTTTGAGCAGTGACCTACTTTAACTGTTACTAAAAATAGATTGTGAACCAAATGTGGCACGACGCGGTGGAATCAGGGTCTCGTCAATTTTTGGGCAAACGGAGTTGATGGTATCATCTTAAGACCTATCCATTTTCCTTGTTTTGGGTGAAAATAATATCCATCTGTGTTGAATAGAAGTCGAGATATTATGTGTGATTGAAATTGAAGGAGGGGAGGGTCATCTGGTTTCAGAGGTAAAATTAGTGAGAAAATGGCCTCCAAAGATGAGTTATTTCTTTAGCTTGAGAGCCTATAAAATCTGAAAATTTACATTTTTTCTGCCTTTGATCAACGTTTTTCGATAAAATCCGCACACAAATGTGCTCTTTAATGGGCATGAAAGGTGTTGAACCAAAAAAAAACATTCGATAAAAATACCCAAACCTGCGGGAAAATGATAATTTCTTGACTTTCATTATTTTGACGAGCGCCTGATTTCACTACGCTGCCTCACAAATTTTAAATAAAACTGACAAACATTTTAGAAAAGGAGGAAAAAAAAAAGTATGATCAGATTGAGCCAAAATTTATTGATTTTCTAAAAGAATGTCCATTTCTGGTCATGACAGACAAAAAATGAATAATTTTGGACCCATATTAACTCTTTGGTGGCACATGGAAAATTACATGTATTTTGGTGATAATTGTTACCGAAAATAGAATTTTCATAAAATTCTCTTATATTGCACCCATTGTGCCAAGGTTAGGCTATGACATTTCTACACAAACATTCAAATCACATTGTTTGACTATAAAAGAAGGGAATTCATCATCTAAAAGTTTAGAAACCAACTATGATGCTGGAAAAATTAAAATTTGAGTTGAAAAATAGCGCCAAAAACATTTGATCAAGAGGGAATTGAACTCGTGCCTTCTGTGTGTGAGGTGAAAAGCCTAACCATTACATCGCAAAAGGTTGGTATCATGCTGAAATGTGGAGCGGGCGACTCTGGTTCGTATCAACTAAGAAATTATGAAAACTGTCTGCCTATGGTGTTTCAGAATCATGTGGGTTGTCTTAGGTTTTTCCATAGCACTCAGCAGCCCTAGTTCGGTCTCATAGATGGGCATCAAAATCAATGAAGGTTAATCTCTCTTTCCCATGAAGGCTGACTCTGAAACAACATTACAGCACAGAAGAGGCCAGACAGGACGTGTATCTACCGGCGACTGCAACACGCAGGAGACCCGAGTTCGAAGAAATTGTTATCGTGTACACGCGTATTTCGGTCTTTTTGCTGGGATGCTGTGTATCTCTGTAACCCCCCAAAAAGCCCGGGCTGATCCTGACAGGCACGATCGGAAGCCCGCTTCCAATACTCTAATACTAATTGTGTTGACGTGGATAAAAAAATGCTTACAAATTTATAAAGAAAAAAAAATCGAAAGTTGATTATTTTTATAAAATTTATATACTGACAATGATGTTAAAGTTAAAGTCTCTATCTTCCCTCCTTCTTTTTTATGTTTGTTACTCTCTTGTAACACCTCTAATCTTCGGCGCTTATATGACCTTATTGTGTTGCAAGTGCCGTAAAACTCTTACTAAAACAACAAACAAAGTTGAATTGGATTACCAAGTGAGGAGAATTGTATCAAGTATCTCGGTCTTTCTGCTGGGATGCTGTATCGTACGCATCCCTCTCAGCCTGGACATTCGGGGTCAGAAGCACGCCCCAAATGATCTAAATTGTGTCGGTCCCCCACCTCAATTGAAAAACATTTTTTAAAGGGTTCTGGTGTAATGTATACTGAAACATCTGAGCTATTCTTTCATTTAGTTACTCATCCCCCACTAAATCCATCAAAACTGACAATGAAAACGAGAAAGCAACTGAATGTGCAAGAGGCTGGGGGTTTTTTAAGAGAAAAAAAAAACAACAAAGAAAAGATAGCTATGGTCTACAGTGAAAAAATACAGTAAAATGGAAAGACAAGGCATATAATGATAATGTCAAGAAACCAGCCCAAGATAGGGAAAAGTGAAACTTGTTTGTCATTGACCAATCAATACCATGGGCCAGGTTGAGAAAGGGGATGATGATGATGATGATGGCGACAAGAGTGAAAAAACAAATTCTGCTTCTATTATTGAATAGGACATGATTATGTAACACACAACATACATTCATAAATAAATTAAAAAACAAAAACCATAAATTCAAGGTACATTTTAGTTTGTATTTTATTGCACTTATCAATCATAAAACAATTTGTAGACCACATCATACAGCCAGATTATGGGACAGGATTGAGAAATAATTGATCTTTCAAATTGCACAATTTACCAGACAGGACCATTTCGACTTTATTCATATTCATAGGAAAATGAACCACATAAATTTCCACATACAGGTACATGCATTCACACATATTATCAACAAATACCATTCATGACATTTCTTCACAACTCGCACACACTAGAGATAAAAAAAACCCACAAGACATTAGGTAGTTAGTCACCTCTCTACTAGCTTGCCCTCCTCCTGTTGGTTGGAGGGTGTTTGACATAGTGGAGAAACTTAAAACTTTGTGGATTAAACTGGATTACATTTGTTTATTCGTTCTATCCAGTTGAAGTGGAAAGAACACAACGCGGTGTCTACCTATTTTTATTGAACGAATGAACAAATGTAATCCAGTTTAATCCACAAAGTCTTAAGTTTCTAAACTATGTCAAACACCCACCAACCAACAGGTTATGGGCCCAGGACTCATCAAAGACCCATTGTATTCTGTGGTGATGAGCACAGATACGAGTTAAGGGAGACAAAATTTCTTGGCTACATGAGAATCCGTGGGTTAAATGCTGTGTTCAAAAACCTTCATGAACAGATCGACGATGTTGACTCTGATCAGAATGAAGAAGCTTACACAGAACTCGTTCAAATATTATATTAGATGACCGCTCTCTGTCCTTAATCATTAGAGATGCGAAGGCTGACGGAAGACAAGCTCTCAAGATTCTACTAAACCATTATCTTCCCAAAGGCAAGTCGAGAATCATTTCATTATACAATGAACTTACTTCACTTGTTAATCATTCTGGCGAAAGCATGACAGACTATTTATTTGTGCTGAAACTGCTGCATATTCTTTCAAACAAGACGGTGAGACTGTCAGTGATTCACTTCTAATCGTCATGGTCTTGAAAGGACTGCCAGCGCATTACCAGCCTTTCATTGCTGTTACGACTCAGCGTGAGAAGGCTCAGACATTTGCTGAATTCAAAGAAAGCCTTAAAAATCAAGAAGATTCAGTCACCGACAGCAGTGAACGCTCTTTAAAAAAAAAAATAGTAGAGGGTTTTACGGCGCTCGCAACTGCATAAGGTCATATGAGCGCCAAGGGGTGGGTGTCAACAGAGAAGTCTTTACAGGGAATCAGACTTAGACTGCTCACCTCTCTAGCTTCAACAGCACAAGGTCTGCTTCGACTATCAAGGCACCCCTAAATAGCAGGTCACAAGAGAGTGACAAACATACAAAAGAAGTAGAGGAAAATGACAATAGTAAGGATCAGGAAAGAAAAAGCAGCAGTTCCCTGTTGTAGATCAGGCACAGTTATGAGCGTGACATGAGTCAGCCCATTTACAATTCAACTATGCTTGAACGAGAAATGTCCCCCCTTTGGGAATGGCCTAAAGACACTTCAGTCAGTGGCACTGCTCCGAGGGGAATGTGAACGCTCTGTTAGTTTTTATGAATATATTCGTTCCAGAACAAATGCTCAAGGACGACATCAACAGTCACCCATAGCAGCGGCAAGGGATCATTAAACCAGACCCGCACAGTCGAGGTGGTGCAATGAGTGTAAATAAAAAACGCATGACACTCAGTGCTGCCGCAATCGAAAAAGATGGTGCGACCACAGCAAAGTTAGGAATCATGATACAAAATACTGCAGGGAATTTAAGTCGTCTTTTGTCAAACGTTAACTCCAGCGCAAGTGAATCAAATGACTTTACATTCTTCGTTGGGAGCAACGCCAAAAATAATGAAGTTCATGTCGCTGATACCCTTCTCCTCGACAGTGGTGTCTCATCTCACATTATCAATGACAAAAACAAATTTGTCACGTTCAACGATCCATTTATGCCTGCAAATCTCGTCATTGAATTAGCAAATGGAAGGAGACAAATCTCGTCATTGAATTAGCAGATGGAAGGAGATTGACAGACATGGCACATGGACAAGGTGACGCTGTGATTTCACTCTGTGACACCCAGGGTATTGTTCACAAAGTTACCCTGAAAAATGCACTGTACATTCCTACTTTTTCACAGGATATATTTTCTGTTCCATCCTCTGTTGGAAAAAGTTCTGACACAAAAATTGAGTTTTTCAAGGATTCAGGAATTCTGTCGAGTGGAAATTCTAACTTTGAAATAAAAAAGAAAGGTGGCATGTACAACTTAAATTCACTTCACCACCAAAATGCTGTACGCTCATTGGATGAGTGGCACAATATTCTTGGACACTGTAACAATGGGTTAATGGTATGACAATCAAGGATCCAGTAGTAACTGATGAAAATGACAATTGTGATGTGTGCCTTTTTAGGTAAAATGACTCAGACAAGAAATCGACAATCTGACACTTGTGCCAGGGCAATTCTTCAAAAGGTTCATGTTGACTTAGCCGGACAATTGGACCGACTGCTAAGGACAATTTCAAATATAATGCACTTCGTTGTGTTGATGACTTTTCTGGTTTATGCAATGTTTATTTCTTACAGAAGAAATCTGATACACATTATGCATTTCAGAAATTCTTGGCAGAAATGAGCCCTTTCGTGATGTTAAATGTGTTAGATAAGCCCGTGATAAAGCCCGGCCTGAGATCGATCGGCCCGATCATAGTCATGTGATCACGGGCCCGGACCATTTCAGAGAGCCCGAAACGGGCCGATCAGTCACTCGCTTTCGCTCGATTCAATTAGCTTTTTGTAACTAATTTCTTAATTGACCACCAAAAAAAAAAAAAAAAGGGCAAAAGCAAAGCAACTTTTCTCAAGGATGTGGGATTTGATTTTTGCATTGTTGTACAGTACCTTTCTGACTGTGTTAACGCTGATCGGGCTGACCCAGCCCGTGCGCTGTCTGCGCGCTGCACCGCACTGTACTCAGATCGTACTAAACGGGCCGGGCCGGTGTAACGGGCTTTTCGTTCCATTTTAAAAATGTGAAGGGTGCGAGATTCTACTTTGATTCTTTCGAAAGTTTGCACAATGGCATACTACTGGATGAAACAACCTGCTGTGGTTTAGTTTTTTATACAATCTTAATTAATCTAAAGCACTCTCAACACATGCGCTTTACTTATTTACAGAAATGTGTAACCTTGCTTTGTGCAGTAATGTAGGAGAGGAACCTATCTGTATAAACACCGGATGCACTGGCTAGCCAATTAGATTGGCCCAATCTAGGCCTAGCGTTGAAAGTTGAAAGTAGACTAGGCCAAGGGTTTTTGAAAAATACGACTTGAGCGGAAACTGAAATTAAAAGTTATCACAGGCGTAGAACTAGCAGGATTCAAACTGAAACCGATTTACGGAAACCACCGCCGGTCTTTCTTTTCTTTTTAAACATAGTCTACATGTACATGTGATCTTCCTTCACTCGAATTATTGTTTCTGTACAGGTTTTTGCCAGATTTCCTGGATGAACTTTTGTATTGAATTTGCTTGTTTGTAACAATTCATTACTTTGTTGACCATGCCTGCATCTATTGTTTGAAGTTTTTTTTCAAAACAGAGTTCAAACCAAGTGAGATGTGACCTTTGTAGCATCCATTTTTGCTACACTGGAGATACCACGACTATGAGACGGCACTTAAACTCCAAACACAAATTAGTCTTTGCTGCGAAAGAGGAGGAGTTGAAACGCTAGAGACTGACACCCAAGGTCACAGAAACAACTAAAGAGCAAGGGCCATCAACGTCTTTCAGTTCTACTCCTCAACTGGTTGATCAAAAGATCAACGATGCTTTTGAGAGAAAATCTAAATATCACAAGGATTCCCCAAGACAAAAAGCTCTTGATGAGATGTTGGCTGAAATGATTTGTATGGACATGCAACCTTTTTCAATTGTGGAGGATAGAGGCTTCAGGAGATTCATACAAGCTCTTGACCCTCGATATGAGATTCCAGGGAGGAAAAAGATTACACAAGTCATCATTCCTAGACTTTACAAGAAAGAAGAAGCTCTCAAGAAGGAGCTGGAGAATACCGAGCACATCGCTCTAACTACAGACGAATGGACGTCTAGAACAACCAAAGGGTATATGGCAGTCACTGCCCACTTTATCGACAACAACATGACAATGCAGTCAAGAGTTCTTGAGATAAGGTGAATAACATCTTCTGTGACAGCGAAAAATATAAAGGATGAACTGAATCATGTCATGGACTCATGGAGCATTCAACAAGAAGTATTTGTGATTGTGACGGACAATGCCGCAAATATGAAATTGGCAATCAACCTCTTGAATAAAAGACACGTGCCTTGCTTTGCGCACACGCTAAATCTAGCTGTACAAGATGCTGTTTACAAAGTGGCAGGTTTGAATGCAATCAGAGAGAAAGTCAGGAACATCGTTGGGTACTTTCACAGGAGTACGAATGCTGCACTTGCATTTGAAGCGGAACAAAGAAAGGAGATAGAAAATGGAGAGCACTTTTCACAAATGGAGAAAGATGAAGAACATTCACAGATGGAAGACTCCGCAGAGCACCGGATTGTTGATGCTCCAAAGAAACTCATACAAGAAGTTAAAACGAGGTGGAACTCCACATACTACATGCTGGAGAGATTCTCCAATCTTTACAAGTCTGCGAATCGAGTACTGGCAGACCACATGAGACATGATCTTCCACTCAACAGGATGGACTTAGACCTCATCTTCACAGCAGTCGAAGCCCTGCGGCCATTTGAAGAGGCAACGAGAGAAATGTCGGGGGAGAAATTCACCACGATAGCAAAGGTGATCCCTATGATCCGTGGCCTGAAAGAGCAGATGTCAATCAAGTTGAAGAAAAAGAACTGCCCAATGGCCAAAGAACTTCAAACACAACTTCAACAAAGATTTAGTTGTCCTGAGGAAAGCTTCATTTGGGCAGCAAGCACTTTCTTAGACCCTCGGTTTAAGAAACTACCTTTCAAAGACCAGAATCAGAAGGAAATGTTGGAAACTGTAAAGAGAAGGCTGTCCCAACAGTTTCAACCTCCAGATCCTGAAGAAGTCCAACCAGAGGAAGCAGTCCGTCCGCAAGTGCCTGTGTATAAAAGAAAAGACTCAATTTGGGCGAGTCATGACGAGGCAGTTGAGAGTCAGCAACAGATAGTGGAGCAGCCCACTGTGAGACCAGTGATGGAAATGGATAAGTATGAAAAAGAAACTTCTGCCCAGAGCAAAAAACCCCTTGTCCTGGTGGAAAATGAACGGCTGCACGATGCCAGGAATGGAAAAGCTCGCCAAAACGTATCTATCATGCCCTGCTACAAGTACACCGAGCGAGCGCCTTTTTTCTAAAGCTGGAGAGCTGATAAACCAAAGAAGATCAAACATCTCTGACAAAACATAAACGTTGTCCTTTTCCTTAATAAAAATTTGAAATGTTGAAACGCATTCTAATGCAAATAAAACTTTGAAAGAAAGTGCGAGCGAATGTATCTTACAATAAATTGTTGATGTATTAAGTATTAAGGAGGTGACTGAAAGTGAAAGAGAGCCGGGATCGAGCACGGTACCAGCGAATGTTGTTGGACGAAAGTTTTCACTGTAGCATGTCTGAGTATTGGGTGAATGTGCAACACAACTGCTGATTTTTTTAAATTTTTGTTTGTATTTCCAAATAAAAATGAAAGTAAAAGAGAAGAAAAAAAACTTTTAAAAAAAAGTTTAATAAACTCAACAGAGAAAAATATTGAAGAAGAAACAGAAACGCGCACACCAAGGCCCGAGGCAGCCCGTGGCCCGTTATTTCGAGCCTCGTGCAGTGAGTGCACACATTGCCCAGCGCCTTGGTGCGAGTCGCGTAAGCCTATTCGCTCGACCCGAGGCCCGGGCCAAACGGGCCCAGCGTGATCGGCCCGACAGCCCGCGGGCCGTTAAGTTTTATGATCGGCACGGGCTTAGTGTTAGAAGTGATGGGGGGGGGGGGGAATTAACCTCAAATGAATTTGAATCACCCTTGATAAGAAATAAGATAAAGCATGAGAGGTCTTCTCCTCATAGTCCTCATCAAAACGGGACAGCAGAGAGATCCTGGCGGACATTGTATGAAATGGCAAGATGTCTTTTGATTTCTGCCAAATTGCCAAAAGAACTTTGGACATTTTCAGTCATGTATGCGGCTTATATCTGTAACAGGTGCTTTAATCACCGTCTGAAATGCACTCCATTTGAAGTTTTCACTGGAAAGAAACCTGACCTTTCAAAATTGCAAGAATTTGGCAATGAATCAGCCCATTTACAATTCTACTGTGCTTGAACGAGAAATGTCCCCCCCTTTGGAAATGGCCTAAAGACACTACAGTCGGGGAGAGCGAAAAGTATGTTTTCCCCATTTTTCATGTTATCACTACCTATGACTCAATGACAGACAGTCTTCCTAGTCACCAAGAAAACCCAGAGAGTACATACATGGCAATATATATGGCACATCACTGAAGAGAACTATATGGCAGCCTCTGGGACCGAAAGCAGAGCGCACAGTTTGTGTACAACACCGAATTGATGGTCGCACTGTCATCGAAAACGAAGAACAAAAAGAAAAAGAAGAAAAAGACTGAGAAAATCTTAGGCATGGCAAAAAGTCAGGCCCGGCCAACTTTTAACACAGCAAGTCTAAAGTAGAAACAGCAAAAATCTCACAAAATTTCAGATCTGAAGGATTAAGACCACCATATCCCCCCTCTGAGCCCTCCCCCCTTCCAAATTCTCAAAACCAGAAGGAAAGTGACAGATTCCTCTCCTGACCAGCCATCATTTATGACTGACTAGTCTCAGAAAGTTTTTGATCGGCAATCTTGATCTGTATGGAACACAATACCTATGTTTGGCTCCCTCCACGTTGAAATGGATGAAGCAGATTTGGAATACATTTTTTTTTAAAAATCAATTATAAATTCAGTTTTTGTGAAAAAGAAAAAGAGGAAGAGCCCATCTAAAAGACGTCAGGCCAAATATTTTGGTAAAGCCAAACAAAAGATAATATTCAGATTTATCTTTGGAAAGACAAAAAAAGCTGTTTACGTATACTGTACAAAGCCTAGAATATTAACAAACATTTCTTTTTACTTGTTTCTTAATCTGTGTTATCAGTACTTGGGGAAATTATTACTGTTTCGTTTTCAAATTCTAAATGTTGGGAGAAAAAAAAAAAAAAAAAGCAAGTAGACTCTATACCATGGTGAAATCAGGTGCTCGTCAAAAGAATGAAATCAAAGAAAAAAGGCATTTTTCCACCAGTTTTACAATTTGTATCTAACTTTTTTGTTATTTTGGCCTCTTATTATGTTCATATTAAATAATTATTAAAACACATTTCCATGTGAATTTTAATGAAAAGCCCCTTGCTAATTTAAAGGCACAATGTAATTTTCAGTTTCCAAGAACTCTTTGTCTTACGCTATTGAAGTTACCAAACATTGGAGGCCGTTTTCTCATAAATTGAATTAACCACTGAAACCAAGCTACCCCAACTTCTTCAATGGCAAATATCTCGACTCCTATTCAAGCTGAAAGGATATTTTTTTTATCGAAAGCAAGACAAATGTGCTTTCAGATATCAATAACTCCATATGCCCCAAAATTGACAAGCACCTGATTACACCGCGTCATGCCACATATATAACATAATGATTTAGATGCAACTCCCAAAAAGAATAAAGCACCTTTTTCCTCCTGAAAAATTTAGCATTTGGGCTTTTAAAACAGTTGAACAGTTTGCAGACCAAATAACATTTGTCAAAACAGTAGTTTGGACTAGACATAACAAGAAAATTGGAAGGTGATGAAAATTAATGCAGCTTAAAAAATGTGTTTAAACATAGATTTATCATCTAGGCAATTTCACTAGAGTCAAATGTGTGTGTGCTTGGATTTGAGTTTTCAAAATTTTTGGGTAAATTTATAGAAAAGGCCCAAACCCATTCTAGACTTTTTCGGCACATTCACGGTTTTTTAAAGTGTGCTGAGAATGATTTTGGTACTAAAAACTGTTGGAAACCATTATTTTTGTAAATTTAGCAGCCTGCAAACCCCCCCCCCCCCTCCAGCGACCTTTTGGTGTGCACATGCGCAGTATTATTATGATACTAGCAAATTTGGTACCGGGTACCAATTTGCACATTTAAAATTTCAAAAAAATCCATGCTCATGCTGAGCTTGTGGCTAAATCTCCATACAGAAGAACTAGAGCGAAATGATAAGCATGATTCACATGATATAACATCATAGGCAACCAGGAGTAACAAATTTTGACAACTTCTGTGACGTTCATTACTGCACAAAGCGGAAAATTACTGGGTACTTCATAGGGCAACAAAGGTGTTAAGCAAAGCCTGGAGTTTGAGTTTAGAGAAGCACATTGACAAAATAACAGTGACTGAGTGCTACGAAAAATATGGATAGACAAACTAAACAGAGGGATACAAAAGAAGTAAGACCTATCAGAGGCCTCCTCTAACTACCTGCCAAGCTTAAGGTATCTGAGTATCATGTGAAATATACAGCAACACAAGCTAAACATTTCAACTGTTCTTGCAGTTGAAGAAAAGCTGTGTATGGTTATCCTTTTCCTGATAAAAAAGTGTGTATCCATAGAATGAAACATTTCAGACAAAGCCATCCATTTTGTTGAGCAGGGAAAGCTTGGCGTTGCGAGAGGTGCGTTGTTTGGGCGAGCCCTTTGTGTACTGTGACAGAAGCCACGCGCTGTCGTCCTGTGCTGTGTTCTCCCGTTCACTTTCGGTGTTCCTTTCCGTAGAACAGACACCAGAATTGTTCACATTCTCGAAATCACATAATCCAATTTCATGAAAACTTCCCATTTGCCTCTTTGGTACTCCACGAAGTTTGTTTGCACAAGCTTTTGAACACTTTGAACCAGAGGGACACGAACCACAAGGAGAAGATGGCAATCCTTGCTCTGACGAAGCTTTCCTTTTTCTCTTTTTATGTGGAGCAATAGAAAACTCAAAGTCGCTGTCTTCATCCACGTAAAGTCCCAGACCAGCCAGAGAATCTTGCGAGAAACGCTGACCTCTCGAGTCACCAACAGATGAACGCTGAGTTCCCTGTTGACGTCGACACGTGCATTGAACAAACGGGGACATCAAGAACAGACAACCCGAAACGCCCCGGGCCGGAGAGTCTAGAGAACTTGTCACGTTGACCGGCAGCCTCTTTTTTGGATCTGAAAATTGAAAAATAAAATAATGAAATGAAGTGTAAATGTTTTGTTTGAGTAAAGAGACGCACGGTACGGTTACTTAGTGCAGGAAAAGAGTAAGACAGAAAGACAGAAACAACAGAGAGACAGAAAAGAAATAGGATCTACCAGTGGCACCCCACAACCACTCGCTGAAGTCTAAATGTGGAAAAATTCTACAAAGAGCACACCAACATTTCAACAGTCATTTAATACAGGGAAAGAGCAAGACAGACAGACAGGAGCAACTACGGGGAAGAAAAGTAGGACTACTAGTGGCGCCTTCTAACCACCTACAATTATTTAAAATATTTCTCCAAAAGTTAGCCATGCAGACCTTGGTGGTGAGAAGAATAAGGCTGACATTTGGTCTGCACGTCTTAACTAAAGAGGCAACAAAAGACTCCAAGCTGTGGCTCCTGACATGAGTCTCCTGGTCCTCCAAGTTGAGGCGTGCGTGTGTGTGTATGTGTGTGTGTGTGTGTACGTGTGTGTATTGAGCTGTTGAGTGGCATCCCTTTTTCATTAAAAACAACACCCCTACTAGTGCTATTAAAACTCCAACAAGGAAAATTGAGAACTCTCATTTCGGTGGCGTATACTCCAGAAGGGGGTAAGAAAGGCTGATGACACAAGGAACTGAAGCTTCACTCACAAAAGCTTGTCGTGATCTCGTCAGATCCTGAAGTCTGCCTCAGACACAGACTAGCCCCAGACCGTCCACTGGTCACTCCAGTGACAGGATTCTCGTACTCCTGTACCCAGCTGTCCACCACTTGAGCCGCCCAGCCTGAGGTGCCAACCTCCCAACAGTCGATGACGTCCGGACAAGTGTCGTCATGACGCTTCCACAACGAGTGAGGCTCAGTCACCTGGTAAAACACGGATAGAGTGAGAGAGAGATATATATCAGAATACAGAAACACTGTTCAAGAAAACATTGTTTTGTTTGAGTAAATAGACACACACCGACATAATAACAGTCATTTAGTACAGGGAAAGAGCAAGACAGACCCCACCCATTAAAAAACCTACAAAACAACAACTGAGACTAATGGCCCCAGAGGAAGAACAAAGCATTCCATACTACACTTTACTCTAGATTCTGCCTACACACTTTTGACTGACACTGACACAACTTGTTCTTCCAACAGCTGAGAAAAATTTGACCTTTTGTTTTAGACCATTTCTGGCTAACAGCGCCAGAGGAACTAGTTTTAATTCCAAGAGAGCGAAGTGCATCGACTAAATAATCATCAATAACAGCAAATTTGAAGAAGGAAAAAAACAAACCAAAATGGAAACATTAGGGGGGAAAGAAAACAAGTTGGACCTATCACCGGTGCTTTTTGTCCTGAACAATCCACCTATAGAGGAATTCTAAGCGTTCTAAGAAATGAACAATTTAGAATTGTACTGCTTACAACAGACTTACTCGAATGGCTGTGTTTGTGGCATTTAAGACTTGCAACTTTCGGAAGCTGACAAGAAACTTGAGCGACCTCGAAGTTATCTTGATGTTTTCTGAGAATGAAGAAAAGTACAGAGATAGCTTGGAATAGTCTGGAACAAAGTAAGGTATTCTAATCAGTCAAACCTACTCTAATTCCGTTCACTCCCATTTTCCCCATCAACTCACTAAGGACGTTTCCCGTTGAAAACACGGGATGGCCCTCAGTCCTGCAAGATCTTTCCAGTGCCTCCATTATAAATGCTGCTAAAGGCACACGATCTGGCTTAAGCACATATTCCATTCCACAAAAAAATATCCCGGAAATCGGTAAACTTTTTGATCAAGAGCATTTTTACTTAGATGAATGCTAAGACTGCTTGTGTTGTAAATTGCAGTGAGTGTCTTTTATTTTCTTATTCGTAAATGTTTTTAACATTGAATTTTTTTTAACCTTCTAAAAAAAACAACACATGACAAATAATCCAGCTGAGTTCGACACTTGTAATTTGGTATTTTTGTTCTTGTTCTTTGTGTTGTTCTTGGCTGTGTCAAAAGGGCATTGCAGTTGGTTAAACAGTTCAGGTTTTTTATATAATTTTTTTTGTGGGGGAGGGGGGGAAGCAAACTTCAGTTTTCGGTGCGTGATGGTAAAATCCTTCCATCTTCAGTGAGTTAATGGTGTTCAGTAGTCTAAGAGGACGACTCCAGTATATTCTTTGGTATGAGAAGTGAACACTTTATGTCTGCTGAGATCTCCTCCCCTGCTTTGAATAACTTTGTAAAGATTAAATTTCTGCTCATATGTTTACAGTATATCTTATTTTTAGCTTTCTGCTCATATGTTTACAGCATATCTTTTTTTTTTTACAGCAAAAATGCCCTGTCACCAAGTAACTACTTAAAAATCAACAGTTGACCACAATCAATACCTGACAAATCCAGGTGGGTCAACTCTACAGATGACAGACCGTACATTCTCATCCTTGTAGTCATTTTGCGTATGCCTTCATCAGAGAGTCCATTATTTCTTAGCACCAATGTTTTCAGTCTGTGCAGAGACAAATAGCTATACATTATGGTCACATTTGAGAGAGAGAGAAGGGAGAAAGAGAGAGAGAGAGAGAGAGGGGGGGGGAGAGACAAATAGCTATACATTATGGTCACATTTGAGAGAGAGAGAAGGGAGAAAGAGAGAGAGAGAGAAGGGAGGGAGAGAGAGAGAGAGAGAGAGAGAGAGGGGGGGGGAGATAATTTAAAAATGCACAATAATGATCACTTTGTGAAGGGAAAGAATAAGACAAATTTAAGACAAAACAAAAGTAGGGGCAGTACCTATCAGCAGTGCACCAACTAAAACAACAGCTAAATCTATCAGAATTTATTAAGAACTCATCTGTAATTAATTTCTGTAAAGGCAAGGGGGGGGGGGGAGCGTTGCTGCAAACAACACTACAGAGCACACAACCTGCCATGACACACGAGATCACCATTGTACGCGGAGACTAGCTCTTTCGGGGGGGCTAAGTGTTTTATGGCGCTCGCAACTGTATAAGGTCATATGAGCGCGCGGGACACATTAAACTTTTTCAGTTTGTAGGAAATTTTGAATTTTGCCCGGATGGCAGCCGAAGCCCACTCTTATCGATTTTAGTCTACCAAGGGATCTTTAACGTGAGCAACTTGCACACAGGCCCTCCGAGATTTTTCGCCCTTGTCCGAGAAGGCTAGGTGTAGATCTTTCCTACCAGAAGTTCAGGGGTGTGGCTGAAAGACAAGTAAGAAGGAGCCAAGGAGTAGCAGTAGAAAGGCTGCAGAAAGAGTCAGGAGCCCAGAGGAGGGGGCAAAGGAAGTGAGGAGTGGGGGCAGAGAGGAAACGAAAGCAGACGACAGAACATTGCAAGAGAGCAGGAAAGGAGGCGAAAGGAGACAATTTTAGAGAAGAAAATTTTTTGGTCGCTTACCGGATTCGAACACTGGACCTTCGAATGAGAGGCCAACACCTTAACCTCTAGGCTACGAGAGCCCCCAGACTAGCTCTTCAGCTTCGTGGAGAACCAACGAAACACGTTGGTATGTGCCCCGTTTATCAGAGCATGTTTGAGTGAACGAAGGAAAATGTTTTTCTTATCGATCATAGATCATACTTAAAGTCCGGTATCTAGCATATTGGGGCCTACAGGGCCCATCTGCTCAGTTTCTCTATAGGCCCGAACAGATTTTCCTGTAGTTTTACGAGGTTGGATAGAAAACTGTAAAACCAGCAAAATGGCACAACTAAGATGTTAATGATGATCCAGGCAACTTGAGTTGTAAGCATTTGACAAAAATTCTGTATTTTAATCTTTAAAAAAACCCAAACCAAAAGCTAAACATAAATTAGATCTTTACATATACTTGGTTGTTGTGGGTTTTTTGGGGGGGTTTTTTTGGAGGGGGGGGTTCCTTGAGAAAATAAAAGTACACCAATACCGTAACAGTAATTTAGTTCAGAGGTGGAAAAATGCAAGACAGACAAAGAAAAAAGAACTGAATCTTAAAAAAAAAAAATTTTCTTCCCTAGATGAAAGCTGCGCGCTGAAAAGACAAAAAACATCATATCATATACATTGTATTTTCAACACAAATTATTATTTACAGAGAAAAAGAATACACATGATTTGATTTTTTTTTAACCCAAAACAACAGCACTGACTTAGAGAGTTCAAACACTTCCCTGCCAAGTAAAAACTCAAACACCTATCAAACTGACTTATAGAAGAATTTTCCCCAAAAAAAAGAAAATAAAAAAGACCCAACTGATTAAGGTACAAAACAGCAAAGCCTGTTTTTTTTTTGCTTTTTATTGAAAAAGAAATTATTTCATTGAAAGAAAATACAATTGGGGCTCACAATTTTTTTAAAAGTAAACCTTGAAAATGGTGTCGTATTCAATTCAATAAAAAAAAGTAAAAGACGTGCCATACCCTGTGTTAAGATGAGCAACACCACGTAAGGGACAAAAGTAGAAAAATACATCACGTATCAGCGAACACATCTATATATATAATTACTTTACCTGTTCATAGTAGTCAGTTGAGGCAGCAAGTCATGGCTGTCCCCCAAGCCACATGCAGTCAAGTTGAGCCTAGTGAGACCGTGATACAGCCACCAGTGGTCATCTACCGTGTCATTGAGAAACAGCTGGCAGTTTCGAAGGTCCAGGCGCTCCAGGATTCCAGACGTGCCGTACGCAGTGAAGAAGAGCTACAATTTTTAGAAGAAAAAAAACAAGTCGCGTTTCTTTATCGCTTTTTAGTTATAATACTCCTATACATGGGTCTGGCAGGGTCAATGTGAAATGAAAGGAGAAAATTTTATATCCTCTGGAAAATATGAGGTTTCAAAGTTTAAAACTAAGTTTTCTCTACATCACCAAAATGTTAATTGTGACAGTAATTGTGTCTCATCAGATCACATATTATACTGTACCGTTCAGGAAGCACTACCTTCCCCTAAACACTCCATCTTTCATGGTCTCATGGGGGACCAAACTGTGGAACACATCCTTCAGCACTGCAAGACACACAGGGCCCTGAGACAGGAAACATGGCCAACCCCACTGACACTACAGCAGAAGCTGTACGGGCTGACGGATGAACTGAGCAGGATGGCCCAATATGACAGATACTGGACTTCAAGTGTGATGCGATCGAGAAGAAGATAATGGTCTGATATTGAGCGATGGATGTCCTTAGCAAAGCAGTGAAAATCACAAAATATCAAAAAAATTACTATTCTTATGACTCCAACTCTAACAACTTAGTCATCGAAAGGCTATTTCCCAGCGCACAGCATGAACAAACAACTCACTTGTAAATCTTTCAAAGAACTCTCTTTACTCCTCAGGTTAGAAAAGTGTCCCCTCTGAGTAGCGGATTCAAATATTTGTTTCCCGACCACATCTGGAAATCCATGAAGTGATTCCACATGGTTGAGACTCTTTGAGATATAATCCAGACAAATGTGGAACAAACTTTTCAATTCGCTTGTCATTTTTCTCTCGTCATACCTCACAGAACTCCAGCATAGATCTGTTTTTAAAACAAGGGGGAAAAAATTATGACAGTGTCATGTCAAAGATTACGTTTTCGTGATAGAAAAAGCAGGAACACAAAAATACAGAAGAATAGTAAAAAAAAAACCACACACACAAAAAAACAAAACAATGAAAAAGTAAAACTTAGACCCACCAAAGTTGCCCTCCAGTGCCATTTCATCCAATTATCTTTTAAAGGGACAATTAAATTAAGGAAGTTGTTAGGGGACTAGTGCTACCCTCTGTGGGACACTGGCCCCTACCATTGCTTACTTGGGGGGGAGGGGGGGGGGGGGGACTCACAGTCCCCTAGCGTTCCGCACTGGGGGACTGCAAAGAAACAACCTTTGACCTTTGAGTCAAGGTCAACAAGCCCTCATCAACATTTACCTTCCATTGTAGTATGTCTATCTGTTTCTAAGCTACGATTTCAGTGTGGATATTAATAGCATTAGTAATAGTAGTAGTAGTAGTAGTAGTAGTAGTAGTAGTTGTTGTAGTAGTACATGTAGTGTAGTAGTAATATAGTATATAGAAGCTCTTTTCAAAACTCCGACACCTTTTTAAACAAAACTTTAAAAATATGAGAAAATTAGTAAAGGTAGCTGTCGGAGCTAGCAAGTCTGTGCTAGGCCTATGTAGGAGGTCTTGTTGTTGCTGCCGATCAGAGAATTACAATATGAGATGGCTTGCTCTTTTAACTTGTCAGTAATATATATTAGTCTACCCAGTGTAATGTTTTAAACTGAACACTGAAGATTTGAAAATTGAGAATTTTTACCTAAGTACATCATGCGTATCAGTGTCAGTAAATTTACTCAAGGGTACTACCTTTTTTTAAGTTAAAGTAGAATCCTGGATTCTTCAAATTAAAATGTATTCTTCAAATCTTTGAAAACAGAATTGAAAAAGATTGAGAAATAACATTTTTATAGACTAAAAAAATCTAAACATATCGAAATCTCGATCGAAATCAGCTTTTTCCTGTTCAGAGCGTTTTGTCATAAAATAGTAAGAGTGACAAAAAAGTCAATAGAGCTGGGCTTAGGGTGTAATGTGCATGCACGTTCAAGACTTACATGTATTACAACAAACATCTCAAACTGTCTTTGCAGTCCCCCAGTGCAAAACGCTAGGGAACTGCAGTCCCCGAGTAGATCTAAGCAGCGCTAGGGGACTTAACAATCCCCTAACAACTTCTTTAAATTAAAGTTGAACTGAAATGATTTGCAATTTGCTTTAAAGGGTCTTAGACTTAGAGAATGTCCTGTCTTAGATTTACTGTCGCTTTTCCCGTAGTTCCCACTCACAATTATCATTCGCCTACTTTCCTGTTTCGGGATATAATCGAGTTAAAACTTTACTGAGTGATAGAGGCCTAGATCGAATATTGAAGAGATTTTGACATATGAATCTCCTTTAGTACTTATACATGAACGAAAATTCCTTGAATTAAACGCTTAATTGTTACAGTAACAGGCTATCCTCCTGTGTCATCGCCACCATTGTTTTCCTTTACTAATTGCTGTCAGTTTTTTTAAAACATTGTTAGCAATATGGACTTTTGTTTTTTGTGTGTGTGTGCGTATGTGTTAGTGTGTTGGGGTTCATTCAAAAGACACGTTTACCTCCAGATCTTGTATTTATATTTTTGTCGTTCCATAATGTCCACAGAAAATTAATATCCATCAAAGATCAACCTTAAAAACTGAAACGAACATAATACTGAAAATTAATATCCAACAGAAGATCGATAAAAAAAAAAAAAAAGCTTGATCGTTTTAGTACAGTGGAGTCCACTTATAACGAGTCCGGAAAAAACGAAAAGTCTGTTATAAAGACACTATTCGAAAACCCCGTTTTTTTCTCTTCTTTACCTTTGTAAATGAAATACTGCTATAGCGCTATCAGACAAACATGCCCGTCGGTTATAGCGGAATATTGCTGCTGCTGTTCACAGTGCATAGGCCTATTATACATAATGTAAAACCCCGCCAGTTGAGAAACTTGTTGGTGATCGAGCGAAACAAACAAAGAATGGGAGAGCCCACATGTGTCAACAATGGAGGCCGAATCGAATGAGTAGGGAGGGTGTGGTATGCGCAGACAAGAAGAACGCATCGTGTGATAGGCCAGTGTAAACCTAGTTTAGATTATCAAGGCCTACCATGCCTCTCACTTCTCCTATGCGGGGATGGAGAGGTCACAGCAATGTGATGGATGGAGCGAATGTGTGACGTGCGCAAGCAGACAGAATGCACCACAGGGTGTTGTGGGGTGGGGGAAAAGACGGCGGACGAGTTAGCCCAGAGACCTTTCTTTCTGAACTGATCGCCAACACCGAGCTGTCAGTCAACATCGCTAGCGCTAGAGAATGGAACCTGATTCGATTTTTGATCAAGTAAGACCTAGAGGTCATGTTGAAATAAATCATCATCAGGGGAGAAAGCAAAAGGAAATAAACAGAACATCAAACTCATAGATTCGGCCTACTTTACTGTTTCCCTAGAATTTATTACTGGATCCCTTACAACAAGAATCCTGCTATAACGGACACTTTGCACCGGTCCCCTCCTTCTCGTTACAACAGGATTCCACTGTAGTAGACGTTTTACGGCGCTCGCAACTGCATAAGGTCATATGAGCGCAAGTTTGATAAAAATCCTAGATCAAAGCCGAAGCTCAAAAACTGAAACGAACATAATAATGTACGTACTGGGTGGAAGGGTGCAATTGTGGCGCCTAAACCTGGCAGACGCCCTGATGCATGAGATCAGGTTCTCGGAAGGGTCGTCGATGAACCTCATCCTCCACAACTCCACATGAATTCAATTTATTCAATCTAATCATGTATGAATCTAACAGGGATCGATACGCGCCGCACTCTTTCTTGTTGTGTAGCTTTGCTCTGCACCACATCGACTCCATGTGATTAGTAGTTGCAGGACTAACAAAATGAATTGAATGATTCACTGCAAGGTGCTGGTACCAAAGATTGTTTATGGTGTTGTAAGCAGCCCACATGTCCAATACAACTGTTGGTATTTTTTTTACTCATGAACCCATCTCACGTTCACAAATTCTAAAACATTTCTCTTGTTCATTTTTACCTGCTTTCCACGAATTTTGACTTTACATTCATTGCAAATTATTAGTTTATTAGATATTGGATATTTTTATATGAACTATATCCAATACCTAAAAAGAATCTGGGCATGCCCCCCCTGTATTTCACAATAATTTAATGTTTTGGAAATTAGATTTGGTATTTTCTTGAAAACAATTGATTTACAAAGGTTTTAGTGGCCATGTGTGTATTCTGCAACGAAAATTATGGCAGTTTAGCTCCCATAACAGCACAACTGCATGCGGCCGTTGGTCTAAAAGTAAAAATTTACCCAACTGTAGTCCCAGGTAGAACGTATCTCTGTAAGACGGGCAAAAGTGTAGCTGCATCGCGCTGTGGAACTGCAACCAGAAAGCCTTCTTTCGTCTCCATGTCGATGCTACCGAACGCCCACGAAGTTGGCAGAACTCGTCCTACATTAGCATTTAAATTTAAAGCCTTTCAATGACTAAACTAAAGTAAAGGCCGATACGTCGATCTCCACCGTGTGACCTGAACCTCCGATTTGCATAGGCTGAAAAAAGTACTCTGCGAAAATAAGGGGGGTGGGAACTACCGAAAAAGCGTCGATTTACCATACATGCTTAGTTAGACAAGCTCTTGCCTTGCAATCCAACAGTGAAAGCTGTCTATCTTTTTTTTTAGTCTTTAACTTTAGCTATACACTTACACACACTGGCCTTGCAACTTATTTGGCAGTGAACAAGCCACTCCGGTCACATTTTACATCGCAAAGGCATCATCATCATAACTAGATCTCTAGATCTAGAATCTAGATCTAGAATAGATAAGTATGATTCATGATTTACAGTAGAAAAAGTACTGATTATGTCATGAAATATGTTCCAGCTTAGGTTTCATAACTTATGAAGAATGAAGATTAGATCTAGACTCTAGATCTAGATATATCTAGATTTCTAGATTAGATCTAAATCTAGATCCTAGGTCTAGATCTAGATCTAATCTAGATTAGATAGATAATTGGCATTCATTAGCTAAGTCTAGGTAATCATGCATAAATAATCATGCATTAATTAGTCATTAGTAGGCCTACCAACCTAACTAACTAGGCCTAGAATACTAGCCTAGATCTAGGCCTAACTAAACTAACTTTTGTCAGTTTCAGGACGTAAAAAAAAGTTCCGTGTGCATCGTGCATTTCCTCTTCTCGAGAGTGACGAAGCAGAGCAGAAATCTGAGGGAAGCAACATTTAGCGACCGAGAGTGAGAGTGAGAGGCATCAAAATTACGTGTGTGGAACAGGAGACAGATGATATCTTGAGCAGCAGGTTCGACTTCATTTCGCCATCGCCAGTCGCCTCAGTCGAGAGTAGAAGATCTAGATTTTTAGATCTAGATCTAGACTAGACCTTGATTCACTAGATCTAGATCTAGATTCTAGATTCTAGGACAGACTTGAGAGTTGAGAGACAAGAGACGCCGACCGCCGAAAGAAAATGAAAGTACGCACGCGCGGGCTTTGGCTTTTATTTTTCATCTCGTCCGAACTCATAATATAGGTAGATTGTAGTTTCCAGCAGTCAAAATGTCGTTGAAATATGATTTCGTTTATTAGGCTAGATCTTGCTGGACTTGTGATGCACTTCAACATCTGTACATGTACCACAACCATTCTAGGGCCTACAGTAACTCCGTTAAAAGAGGTCATTAATAAAAACCCTCTACATTTAAAGTGTTTTAGAAATCTTCCATCTCCTGGAGTCAATGGTGGGTGGTTGGCGGGTGCTTTGGTGTGGTTTGCTTCTTCTTTCTATTAAAAGCTTATCGTCCTTCCCTCTTCTCCTTTTGGTGTTTGTTATAACTCTCTAACACCTCTAATCTTCGGCACTTATATAATATGACCTTATTGTTTTGCAAGTGCCATAAAACTTTTACTGAACTTAACTTGGCATCAATCAGAATAAGATCGGGGGTATAAACTAATAATATTAAAGTATCTATATATTATTAGCCTCAAGGAGTTTAGAACTAAACTACTGTAAACTCCTTGACTAGCCTCAAGAATCAAATAGGCCTCTATTATTATGGGCTCAATCTAACCTAAACTTTATCTTTTACAACATTTTGACAATAAAATTTTAAAAAATTGTTCGTGATATAATGAGCACACCTTTTTTCTGATGAACCGAAACTAAGACTAAGAGATGTAACTAATTTTAAGATACAGGATATAGGCCTAGGACTTGGATACAAGGTAATTTAATCCGTTTCACGTTTTACACTCAGGCATGAACGTATGCGTGTGGGCGTACTCTGTGTGTGTGTGTGTGTGTGTGTGTGTGTGTGTGTGTGTGTGTGAGAGAGAGAGTGTGTGTGTGTGTGTGTGAGAGAGAGAGAGAGAAAGGGAGAAAGAGAGAGCGAGAGAGAGAGAGGGAGAGAGAGAGGGAGAGAAAGAGAGAGAGAGAGAGAGAGAGAGAGAGAGAGAGAGAGGAGAGAGAGAGAGAGAGAGAGAGAGAGAGAGAGAGAGAGAGAGAGAGAGAGAGAGAACGTAAGCATGTGTATTTATATATTAGATATTGCCACCATCACAAAAGGTGATGGCAAGTTTATACAATTTTGCAACCTAGAAAAAAAAACTCATAGTCTACGGATAATCACAATTTTCAAAAACGTCAATAAAAAAATAAATAATTATAGGCCTACGGTAATATTTGTTGGTAGAATCATAATATAATCTAAAGGTCATCTCAGGTCAAGAATTTAAAGTGCCTTGAAAAGTTAAGAAAAATGGAAGCTCTAAATGAGGTTAATTAATAACTTCTTTAGTCACATTCCCAGTTCGTTTTATGAGTTAACTTAGGCTAGGTTTTCTTAGATCTGAATAAGCCAAAAAATTAAGCATGTTACCCCAAAGACTCGATGAGCACCAACTACAATAATTTAAGTCCTCGCTTTTGCAAACCCTCATTCCAACTTCACATCGACCGAAGCGACATTAAGGTCTGTTACAAGGCCTACAAGCCGCGAGAAAGTAAAACAAACAGCAACAACAAAAGCAGAAGAAACATTCAAAAAAGAAATAGTAATTGTTACAATTGTAAGAATGGAATGGTCAGGCTCACAGATATGCCCTGCATTATTTTGGGTACCGGTATTTTGAATTAATTTCAGTAACAGCCTGTGTACTAAAAGTTAAAGAGAAGTTTTCAATAATAATGGACTTAATTTTCGTTGGCAAGCTGTTCAAATATCCAGAGCCCTGATGGCAATTTCTTTTTTAACAGAGGGAAAAAAACAACAAGAAAAAACAAACAATACTACAACAACAAAAACGGTATAAGCTATGCCCCCACGACTGTTTAATTATTATATTCCCTTATTAATTTCGACTTGCTCCTATCTTATCTGGCCTTTTTTTTAACACGTAGAATTTGAATTTTGCCCAAATTACGAATATTATCGACCGATACCGAAGACTAAGAAAGTGTTTTTTTAATGTTTTTTTTATTGTCTTAAAAATTGTGGACAGCTGGCCGCCGTTCTGTTTCCGGAAGAGGGGACAGGAAAACAGGACCAGGTGAATCCATCCGCTGCGTGAGCTGGAGCTGGGGGATGGGGTCACAAAGAGGAAACGCCAGTTCGAATTTAGGTTACGAAACTATTTGCGATCTTCGGAGAAATCGAGTATTCGACCATTATTTGGAGCTCGGGAAGGAGTAGGCCTATGTCTCCCAACGCGCGCGGGTTCTTGCCGCTCCACAATCAATCAAGTTATACGGGATGCCCACTACGGATGGGATCGGCCGATAGCCCGACTCGTCGACTCAGTCGCCTAAAAACAAAAGTGTTTGTTTTCCGTTTCAGGCGACCGAGTCGGGCGATCGGCCCGATCCATAGTGGGCACCCCGTATTAAAAAGCAGAGCTGTTAAAGTACTTTTTAAAAAGTACTTAAGTACAAATCTAAGTACAATCTAAAAAAATGTACTTAAGTACAGTAAAAGTGCTTTCCTGTAAAATGTACTTGAGTACAAGTACTTTTTTAAAAAGTACTTAAGAGTACATTTTGAGTACTTTCTGCTAATACGCTAAAATACTTCAGTGCTAATGCAAAACATAATAAATAGCATATCCGGTATATTTGACAAATTAGGCCATTTATTACTAAAAATGTAAACAGTATACCAAGCATTTGAATATACAATGTACGCACTGAACGTAGGTGGAAATGGTCCGTGAAATTGAAAGAAACCCCCAACAAACAGACGCAACTAGTGGGTAAGTGATATTATGAATAGAACTTGTTTGAGCAAGACAATGTGATCAAATATAAGTCAGTCCAAGAGGCCGGAAAGTTCTACAGGAAAAATATCCAAATTGGAAAATGTACAAAGTTGCTCTTAAGAAAACATAAAATGGATGAAAATGGCCAGCATATATAGAAATGGAAAAGTGCATTGAATTCTTCATTAATAAATCCTTAAGGAATCAATATAGCCTTAAGCAAAAACCTCCAAAAGAAAAAGTTTAAAAGAAATTTAGGTAGCCTAAAAAATTGTTAGATAAAATCTACATTGAGAACTCAGTTTCAGTTTCAATTGATTGTAGTGGTAAGACAGATTTCGGTCACACTATATAGTCCACGGCGCCCACGGCAAACCAAATTACATGTAGTTTCATAGTCTAGTAAGTGTAGTGTAACCAAAGATTCTCTACTACAATAGTCTCCGCCTGAGATCACAGTGCTCGGAAGCAAGGAAAATACGGGATCTTATCCGACGAAGCCAAGGAAGAATGTACATAATAATATGTACTGTGACCCATGAACTGACATGACCCCTGTGTGGGTTTATGACATATGGCGAGCAAAGAGTGGTCAACCTTGATGACCGGCATGAGGCATGCCATATACACTCATTAGCCTATCGAGAGTCTTGAGATCTTTACATAAATCTACGTTTATCCAGTTGCCTCTCCCCTTTACCTGTCCAACAATTTTAGCTTTCCATCTCTGATTGAGTCCCCCCGCCTTTGTCGTTACGCACCATTACGTTGTGACCACACCAATTAAAATCCAGGCTGTCTTGCAAATTCGGGAATAGAGAAAAACTGCTTTCAATGGTCAGGGAAGAGTTCACAGTTCGAAGTGATCCCGCCTGGAGCGAACTTGTAGGCCCTACCTACCCAGCGAATGATCATGGCCTTCGTGAGCTCAGATGTGAGTGTGATGTTTAGGGAAACGAAACGCATCGGTCAGTGCACACCTTGGTGTGATCCCGTCTGGGGCGAACATTGTACTTGTACCCTTTCATGGGGTTTTACAACGCTTGTGATAACATTCACGAGATATCGAGTGGCTGATCTTTGACGCGACGGGCCGTTCTTTGATCTCAACTTTTAACTCTTGGTTGATCAGCTGTGCCCGCCCGGGTGCTTATTCCGTAAATTATTATCAGAAATGCCGACACTTACCCTTTCATTAAGCTTCAAAAGTACTCAAAATGTACTTTAAAAATACTCAAAAGTACTTTTATAAAAAGTATCGGAGTACAGTAAAAGTACTAGCTCTTAAAAATGTACCGGAGTACAGTAAAAGTACCGAAAATTGTAACGTAATAGTCACCCAGTGCAGAACATTTATTATAAGATCGATTGGCAGAACGGACGTGGGGGGGGGGGGGGGGAACAATACAAGTAGAAGAAAGGCCTTCAAGCAACGTCCTCAAAAGTTGGATATGGGACATATGGTATACATACTGGCTAGCTGTCCTCTCCACTCAGTCCTATCACACACGGGACCGATGAGATTTTTTCACTTCTATATTTTATGCGAGAAGGTTAAGTACTCTCTCTCTCTCTCTCTCTCTCTCTCTCTCTCTCTCTCTCTCTCTCTCTCTCTCTCTCTCTCTCTCTCTCTCTCTCTCATGCATTATTGTTTTACTGCTCGAGTGTTTGTTTCGAGTATCAGATATATTGCTCGAATGTGTTCTCCAGTAACAAGGCGAATACGATTACGATTACAAAAACAAGACAAAATGGCTGACAATCGGAACAATTTCTATGCTGACCGCGATGATAGATGGGCTCCAAGAAATGAATGGAGTTCACACGATAACCAGCAGTTCGAAAGCAACCGTTATCAGGGTTATGGTGAGGACTGCGAATCTGAAGGTGGGCGACCTTATCAACAGGAACGTAATTATGACAACAGACCAGATAGACACAGGCCCAGACGAAGAAGATCACGATCTCGCTCAAGGTCTAGAGAAAGGGACCGGGGCAATTTTTCCTCAAGCGGCCGATCCCGAGATCGGGGTAACGAGAGAGATAGGAGACGATACAGAGATGAGGATAATAGAATTCGAGAGTTTAGTGGCGATGCTGATAGGTCTGAGTCTGGGTTTTACAACAGCAGTAACGACACAGGAGGGGGAATGTATGGTGGTAGTAGCAGTAGGTCTACCAGTGGCAGCAGCAATTATGATGAAGGAGGAATGTATGGTGGGGGCACCGGCAACAGATCTGGTAGTAATGTTGGTTACAGTAGAAATGATGACGGTCGGAGAAGTGAGAGACATGATAGTGGGCCAAGACATAATAGAGACAGTGAACATGACGATGACAATGGAGGAAACAAACGCATTAATGGCAGGGATTGGAAAGATAAGCTTACATCCATCAGGGAAGCCCACTTCAATCGCAGTAAGCAACCTCCTTCGGTTGCTCAAAACCAGTTTCGCAATGATGGTAGCTTCATGGAAATGTTTAAACTAAAGATGCAGCAAAGTTCACAAGGAGAGGACCAATCCAACGTGACGCCAAATTCATTAGTATTGGCTTCAAAGTCCATTCCATTTAGTCCAGAACTGTCACTTCCTCCTCTTACGACCACGCCAACAGAGGAAGTTACAGCATCATCATCTACAGCAACTGAATCTGAGGATGTGGATGGTACACCCATCCAAAAACCAATCCGAATGCCAGTATCAGTAAGACTTTTTCCCGTATTTACCTGTTTTAAAAGCCTTATTTTTGTGGTAATAATTTTGTTTTAAAGTACTAGATCTAGATATCTAGATCTATTTCTATGGTGTTTTTGTACTAAAATTCAGTATCATGTTATTAGGTCTCTAATATTTAGGCCTACAATGTCTAAAACGCACATCTCGAGCGTAGTAGTAGTGAGCTGATTTTCAGGTTATTTATTCAACATATATTATAATGTAGCCTATATTTCCGTCTTGTCTCTTTAAAGTGTGTCCATCAAAATTTGTATATATAATAATAATGAAAAGATTTCCTGTTGGTGGTTTGCGGGTGCTCTGGTGTGGTTTGCTTTTTCTTTCCTATAAATATCTATCGTCCTTATCTCCCCTTCTTCTTTTTATGTTTGTTACTCTCTTGTAACACATCTAATCTTCTGGCGCTCATATGACCTTATGCAGTTGGGAGTGCCGTAAAACCTTTACTAAAACTAAACTAAAAAAAAGATTTCCGTTTCCCGCTGACATCACTTCTATGTGCATTCTAGACTGTACACATTTTTATTACTTCTGTAGTCTCTGCCTAATGCGGGGTGCCTATTGGGGGATCGGGTTGGGTCGGTTTGCTAGCCAGATTGAGGGCGCAAAGCAGCTATTGTGGCACAAGCCGATCGCGCCCGACTCGCAAACGTGTTTTTTTTCAGGCGACGAGTTGGGCGATCATCTCATCCCGACCTGATCCGATCCCATCGGCAATGGGCACCCGGTATAAGACAAGAATCACTTGAAAACCCAGTTGGCTTAAAAAAAGCCTGCTAGTGCCTGATCAAAGTGCCCAACTGCACCATCTTTCTATTCGAATTATTCATCAAAAAATAAAAACAAGCATTTAAAAAAATAAATCTTGAAACTCTGTTTTACTGAAAATTAAGTGTTAAAATCTCCAAGGTCATACTTCAACTTGAGAGCTCTTTCTCGTATTCGGAAGATTTTTGTGAGTTGAACAGTATCCTTTGTCAAAGTTCTCCTAAAAATGTGGCCTCTCTATTTGTACAACTATGTTCTTGGTCTAGTAGTTCTTAAGCAAAGATTACAACACTATTGTAGACAGTAGTTGAACTGGTAGTGTATTTTTTATCAGGGAAGCAAGGTAAGTACTTGTGGTAGACTGCAGTCACATGACATGTTTTATTGTGATTTTCTGACAGTTTTCCTCTACCCAACTTTATCTCTGCATGCTGAAAAGTTTCAGTATATTTGAAAATTCGTATGGCAAACATTAGAATTACACAGCAAGTTCCTTGGGGTAACCAGACTGCATCATGTCTACAATGCTAAGATAGTGTGTCATGTTGGGTTGTTTTTTTCCTTGTGTGTGCTGTGATTATGTGCATGAAAATTTGTTTAAATTTTAGAGACACTAGAGAAAAAAAAAGTTAGATATATGTTAGAGAAGATTTAAACGCAGGTCAGCCAAAGAGTGCTTTGTGAAGTGTTGTGGTAGGAAATGCTGACCCTGTGAGATTCTCTCAACAGATGGGCAAGCGCCGGCTGGCTAAACCATTAAAGACTGGCATTGTTCTCAAGAAACCGCAGAAGTCAGAGGAGGTAAACATGTCATGCTGTACTAATTCTTTGCGACACCCTTTTTGTGTTCCTGTCATGTCCTATAGTCTTCTTATGGCACCAAGATATCTCATGGAATCTGCAAATAACCCCCCAAAAAAGTTTTTTTACTTTCAAGAACATTTTCACATTTAGAATATATGATAAGCTTATTTTAAATGGGGGGGGGGGGGGGGGAAGCAAAGAGAAGGGAGCCGGATGTGTCATTTACTGTGACTGGATGATAGATCTGAAATATTTAATTTTATTGGAACCTTGGGATGGTATTTATTTTTTACTTAATTTTAGAATGTGCAGAATTTACTCTCGATGATTTTCCAAGACCACCACACAACAACAGATACAGAATAATATAATTTAGCTGAAATAAAAGCTGAAGTGAAACCTTGTTTTCAGCCTTCAACCTCAGTCACATGCCGTGACGTCACGTTCACAGAATGAGTGGGAAGCGAGTTTCTAGCTGTTTACTTCTTGGCAATCAGATCTGTGGAATTTTTTTATCATGTTTTAGAAGTTGCAATGTATGGAGAGAAATAAATCTGAGAGGAAAACGAGAACTGGGATAATAAGAATTCCTTTCGTGTCAACAGAAATTTCATGTTAAACAAAGTCTAGGATATTCTTGATTCAGTTGGGCTGAAAGAACTTGAAAACTGAGAAACAGTTTATGAGTGAGTTGTTCACTTGTTCCATGTGTGTTATTTTTTACTCTGATCAAGGGATACACATCTTATGAGTACTGACGAGAAAGCTATGCTGTGAGCTGTATTTGGGAATGATTTATGATCTCATATTTTTATCATTTTTAATTTTGTTCCATTTAAAAAGTGTGTGATTAAATATTAGTAGAAGTAAAAGGTAGCTGAATCTGAACATTCCACCTCACTTTTTAATTGGGTTGATAAAACTTCCTGAAGTGCTACCAGTAGTTCCCCCAACCACATTTGTAGTAGCTGATATTAAATCTGATATAGTATTGTACTAGTGCTGCCTTCCTATTTGAAATTGAGATACTTTTTTTTTTCTTCATGCTATGTTCAAACTTTATTTGATTCAGCTCAGGGATTTCTTTTGGTTTAGCAGTCAGTTTTTTAAAATTGATCTGGAAACATTAGGATAATTACAAGCAATATATACTGTGGTTGTTGGCTAAGTTGGATTATTTTGGCAGAGTATAAGTTTTTGAGAATTTTTTGAGAACGATGAGTCTTCTGTATTTAATTCCTGTCCAAGCGTCCACATTAATTTCCGTTCCTTATGGAAAAGTGAAAGTCACTGTTTCTGGTGTTTGCTCAGTGTAGCAATGGTTTGCCGAAACCCTGAGGTGTCTTCAGAAGGGGGCAAGGAGGAAATGTGTCTCACATTCTTTTTTTTGCTATAAAAAAAATATTTTTGACAACTCAAGTTGTGGAACTCTGGCTCTGTAGCGGTTGAAATGCAAGCTGAATGTGTTGGAACCCGAAGAAAAATGGAGATATTCACTGGAGACCTGGTGATGAATGTGAATATTCTTGAGCGTCTCCCAAGAAGAAAAAACAAAAAACCCTCAACCACAAGAAAAAAATATATTGTTGAGTGTTGATTGGAATATTATATGTTCTTTGTGTGGGACCTGCAGGTAAGTCCGTGTTTTCCTGATACGTGTATGTATATATATATATATTGGGTACGGATATTTTGCATTGTCACTGCTGTGGTTTGAAGTGCGCGGCTGGTATGACCAATTTTTTCTTCTATTTCTGTTGGCCATCTTGCTTTTTCCGAGGGCTGTCCTTATTATTTGGATGTGTGCTTCGCTTTTCTTTATCCCTCGACTAAATGTACTCGGTGCTGAATACACTGTTTTACTTTGAGCGCTTGTCTCTCTCCTCATTCTCTTCTTTTTCTCTCTCTCATTCTCGTTTTTATATTTCTCTTTTTCTCATTCTCCTCTCTTTTTGTCACTCTACGTGTTTCTCTCTCTCTCTCTCTCTCTCTCTCTCTC